TCCTCTTTCTCCACATCCTTGCCAACATCTGTTGTTGCCTGAGTTGTTCATGACAGGTGTGAGGTGGTATCTCATTGTGGTTTTGATTTGTATTTTCCCAATGATGAGTGATGTGGAGGATTTTTTCATGTGTCGGTTGGCCATCTGGATGTCTTCCTTGAAGAAGTGTTTATTCATGTCTTTTGCCCATTTCTTCACTGGATTATTTGTTTTTTGGGTGTTGAGTTTGATAAGTTCTTTCTAGATTTTGGATACTAACCCTTTATCTGTTATGTCATTTGCAAATATCTTCTCCCTTTCTGTCGGTTGCCTTTTAGTTTTGCTGTTTGTTTCCTTCCCTGTGCAGAAGCTTTTTATTTTGATGAGGTCCCAAGAGTTCATCTTTGCTTTTGTTTCCCTTGCCTCCTGAGACGTATTGAGTAAGAAGTTGCTGTGGGCAAGATCAAAGAGGTTTTTGCCTGCTTTCTCCTCAAGGATTTTGATGGCTTCTTTTCTTACGTTTAGGTCTTTCATCCATTTTGAGTTTATTTTTGTGTATGGTGTAAGAAAGTGTTCCAGGTTCATTCTTCTGCATGTTGCTGTTCAGTTTTCCCAGCACCGCTTGCTGAAGAGACTATCTTTATTCCACTGGATTCTTTCCTGCTTTGTCAAAGATTAGTTGGCCATACGTTTGTGGGTCAATTTCTGGGTTCTCTATTCTGTTCCATTGATCTGAGTGTCTGTTCTTATGCCATCTTTCGGTCTTTCGAAAATAAATAAATGTTTTAAAAAATTAAAAAAAGAATCCCATGCTGTACCAACTGAGCCAGCCAGGTGCCCCAATTTTTCTGTTATATTTTGTATTAAAGTTAGAATTATCAACTCTAAAGCATTGTAAAAACTTATAATCTCAGTCCCTAATGCCATTCTTATATTACATATTACTCAGCAATTATTTCATTTTTGTATACAGTTGCAGTTACAGAGTATATGACATTTTGGATTCTGCCATTTTTGTCCTAAAAGTACAAACCTAAGACATTAAGCTAATGGACTGTGATCTCTGATTGCTTCTCTTTTGAATTGTGCCTGTGTGGAGGGGCAATTTCAAAATTTGAAGAGTAACAGATCATAAACCAAGATGTCCTTTTCGAATTTTCTTTGAAAACAAATTAGACTTTGCTTGCATCTTGGTCAGGGAGTGGCCTTCTGTGGCTTCCTCTGCCGTGGGCTATGTGGCCTAGCGTCCCTGTCCCTACCACCTGTGATCACACACCAAGGCCCGTAAGGGATTGGTGCCAAAGTTTCCATCAGCCTACAAGCAACAGCATGGCAGTCATCCTCTCCAGTGGCTCGCTCGTGGCCACCCATGACTAATACTGGTGCCTCCAGGGTTCCACTTCCAGTAAGAGGTCCTGCATAAGTGCAGAGTATCCTGGGGAAGCCATCCCTTACCACCCTGGTCTCCCCAAGGCTGACTTGGGTCAGTGGTAAGCAAGCTTCTTTTTTCAGGAAGTCTACTCTCCTGTTCATGGCTACAGTGTTGGAATTCCCAGGCCTCCAATGGCACGATCACCTGTGACTTGGCTCTGGAAACCATGAGGAAGCAGCCTGGTGGCCAGCCTGGCAAAGCCAACACAGCCCTGAGTGGCCACTACCAGCCACTAGGCTTTAGGAGACCCTAAGCTCATATCACAACCCCTACCCATCTTTCCCCTCCTCATAGACTAGGTAGGCTGCAGCAAGCAGAAGCAGTTGGGTTCTTTTATATCAAAACGGCAAAACACCAAAAAGGAAGTTGAGAGAACCCCACTCGTTACTTTCTAAGCCACACGCAAGGCATCTTGACATACCTTGTAACCTTGTGCCTTGCACCAAGTGGAAAATAAACTCCAAGCAGCCAATAAAAAAAAAAGAAAGAAAAATCAACATTATATTGTGTGGAAATTAATGAACCTTTTAACTCTGAGAGTTTGTGATTTTTCTCTGTTAGAAACTGCTATTTGTGCAGTTTTATCCATTTTTAAAAATTGTGGTAAATCTACCTGGCTCAGTCAGTAGAGCATGCCACTCTTGATTTTGGGGTTGTGAGTTCAAGCCCCATGTTGGACGTAGAGCTTACTTAAAAAAAAATTTTTTTAATAAAATTGTGGTAAATTGTACATATCATAAAATTCATCATTTTTTTCATTTAAGTGTACAGTTTAGTGACATGAAGTACACTCACATTATTGTGCAGTCATCACCACCATCCATCTCCACAGCTTTTCCTTCTTCCCCAACTGAAACTCTTCCCATTAAACACTGACTCCCTATTCTTCCCTCCCATCAGCTTGTGGCAACCACTATTCTACATTCTGTCTATGAATTTGACTACTCTAGGCACCTCATATAAGTAAAATGATACAATATTTGTCCTATTATGACTGGCCTTTTTTCACATAGCATAGTTTTCAATGTTCATCATAACACGTGACAAGAATTTCTTTCCTTTTTAAGACTAAATAATACTCCATTATGCATAGAAACCACTTTTTATGTTTCCATTCATCTGTCAGACACTTGGGTTGCTTCTATCTTTTGCCTATTGTGAATAAGTTATATCAGTTTTAAAGTGATTTTAAAAGGAACTTTAAAAGTTTTTGCTTAGGGCACCTGGCTGGCTCAGTCTGTAGAGCCGTGCTTCTTGATCTTGGGGTCATGAGTTTGAGTCCCAAGTTGGGCATAGAGAGCTTACTTAATTAAAAAATTTTTTAAATAATAAAATAAAAGCTTTTGTTGTATTTGTTTGCTGTTACAATATTTGAGCAAAGTTAATAAGAACTTAGAATTTTATTTCTAACTACTTTCAGCTTTTAGTTTTATATTACTTTGCATAGTACATGATAAAACTCTACCTAAACAGGGGTGCCTGGGTGGTTCAGTCAGTTAAGTGTCCGACCTCAGCTCAGGTCATGATCTCATGGTCTGTGGGTTTGAATTCCGCGTCAGGCTCTGTGCTGAAGCTCAGAGCCTGGAGGCTGTTTCAGGTGCTTCGGATTCTGTGTCTCCCTCCCTCTCTGCCCCTCCCCTGCTTTCTCTCTCTCTCTCAAAAATAAATAAACACTAAAAAATTTTTTGAATTCTGCCTAAACAGACCTTGTTCTTGTCATGACAGTGATTCTTCTGGACGTAATCATTTTGAAAGAATGTGTCTTCCTTGCTTATTTGTATTAGTATTGAGTATGTATTCCTCATTTATATCCCAAGAAATTGTCTTAATACTTCTATCATAACAAAAAATACATGATGACTGCAAAAAGTTGGAAAAATATAAACAAAAAAACTCCTTTTATCCTGTAATAACAGCTTAACTTTTTGACTGTGGTCTTCTACTAATTTTCCTGTCTATGTGTATTTACATACTTACTCATAAAGGTGGGATCATACAGCATAACTTTTACTTAATATATTATTAATGTTTTCCCATCTAATTAAATATTTTCTTCCACATTATTTTCTTAAACATCAATAGTATTTTGTCACATCGAAAATTATTTGAATTAGTCATTGGACTTTTAGATTGCTTAAAATTCCACTTAGGTAAACAAGTCTATTATTATATAAAATAATTATTATGTGCATACATATAGCTATTGATTAAAGGGAGTATTTTTGATATTTCTTTGCTTTCTACTTTCTGTGTCCTTAGAGAACAAAGCAATAGAATTGTAGGAAAAAACTAAATTTAAATTATTAAATCAGTCATCTGAACTAATTAATTAAGATCATGTATTTGTGTATATTTATTCTTTTTCTCTAAGCAGGTTGGCAACATTGTGCAAATCACCAAGCCAGAAGGAATCTACAGTACTGTTTCAAATCACAGTCAGTATCATTTGATTAGAGTGGGATTTTGGTGTTGGTGGGCAGTAATTATCTGAAGAGAGCATTTACAAATTGCTTCTGTTAACTCCTGTAGGCAGCAAGCATATTTGAGGACAGCTTTTGATGCTTAGAACATTATCCCCAAAATAGTAGTATATATACAGAATATTCTAGTCACAATTGGACTGAAATTTATTCTTAAGAACAGAGGAAATACTTATTTGTAGGCTAGTGTGTTCCATGCCATATGTAATGTCAGGATATTAAAAATTTTTTAAGTGAAAGTTGTTAAAGATTTTCCAAGAAAAAATACTAACACTACTCATTTTAGTCTGTAGATATTATAGATCTATCATAGCCACCAAATATATCCTACTTTAAAATGTTAATTTTCCTATAATTTAAAATCATAGAACACACTCTTTTTGGCTGAAATATGCATATTTATCAGTAGTGTTGAGCCAAATATATTCTTGGTGTCTCATTTTTAAGGACAAAAACAGAAATAGAGATTCTGAAATTGAATCATCGATTTAGTCTTTGTACTGCCTAGGTGCATTTAAAGTATCCTAACTGGAGGGGCACCTGGGTGGCTCAATTGGTTAAGCATCTAACTTTAGTTCAGGTCATGATCTCGCAGTTCGTGGGTTCAAGCCCTGCATAAGGCTCTGTGCTTACAGCTCAGAGTCTGGAGCCTGCTTCTGATTCTGTCTCCCTCTGTCTCTGCCTCTCCCCTACTCATGTGTGCTCTTTCTCTTTGTCTTTCTCTCTCTCTCTCAAAAATAAATAAAACACTAAAATTTAAAGTAAAGTATCCTAACTGGAAAATTTTATTTAGTTGTGAAAATAATTTGTAAAGCACCTAAGTAATTAATACCTGTTACTTCCTTTTACCTCTTCCAATAGAGCCACCATAAAGTTTGTTAGGATTGTCTTTTAGGGACACCTGGGTGGCTCAGTTGGTTAAGCATCCCACCCGCTCAGGTTATAATCTCACGGTTCATGAGTTCGAGCCCTGCATCAGACTCTGTGCTGATAGTTCAGAGCCTGGAGCTTGCTTCAGATTCTGTGTCTCCCTCTCTCTCTGCCCCTCCCCTGCTCACGCTCTGTCTCTCTCTCTCTCTAAAAAATAAACATAAATAAATAAAAGGATTGTCTTTTAGAGTATATGTTTATAATGCACTGAAATTTGTATGTGTGTATATATGTATATATATATGTATAAATAAATACACGCATACATATAAAAAATACTCTAGATATAAAATACTTTAGTACAGCTCTGGTTTGGACACGTACTCATGAGGTTTAACTTCTTCATTCACAGTGGTTGGTAACTTCTGTCTCAGTAAAGTAGCTCTCTTATCAGTTAAAAATATTTGGAAGACCAGTTTTATTTTAGATGTTCTTAAAGCATACTTATATATTTTTTCATCTTCCAGCCTCAGGGATTTAGAGATGCTGTTGTTGCTCCTGCATGTTCTTGGCAAACAGAAGGTTCATTGAATTCCCGGAAGCGGTCACGAGAATGAGAAGAAGAACAGGAATCCAAAGACTAATCTTAAAGTATACATATGTATTGATGCTGTAAGATGTAATGTATACAAAGTAGTAGACTCATTATAAAATGTAAACACACAGTATGGGATGTTTGAATCAAGAGCATAGGAACTGAATGTGAAAAACATTTAATTAGTATGATTCTCTGAATTTTTCAAAAGCAGTTTTACAATTATATTTTGCCCCATTTTCTTTTTTAGTAACATTCAGCAGAAATGATACAGGTATTGTATTTTTGCAGATGTGGAAAGCTGATCTCATGTGGCCAGTGTGAATTTACCATTCAGACTGTTTTTTCCTCTTTTGCTAATTGCGTGGAAAACCCTTGGAAGAAAATATTTTTTTCACATTCCTATTTTGTTCTCCTCTTTAAATGTAGTTTTCATAATTCTTAAAAATGACTTGTTTTTATTATTGTAATGAAAAGCCAGCACCATGAGTCAGCATATTATTGTATTCAGTTTTAATGGTAGGATATAAACTTTACATGACCAATGTGATTTTAGTCACCCCAATCCTAAAATCTAACCCATTTGTGTATTTTTTTAATGTTATTTTATAATGTTAAGGGAAGGACTTTGGAGCTGTTACCCTATCTAGAAATTGTCTATAACATACATCTTCCAGAATAGTCAAGTTGATAAATTTACAGTTATTTATCTCTATATTTTTGAAACACGGTGTGATCCATTCTAGAATTCTAGATGTATTGACATTTTCCTTTGAATAATCTTAACACTGTTTGAATGAATTAAAAATTTGGATTCTTGAATGGTTTTAAAATCATCTAAAAGTGTTTTGGCACCTGATTCTTTTTAGTACTTCTCAATTCATTCACAAAATTTACTCTGGTTCCCAATGGAAGAAAATTATTTAAATAATTGAACCATGGTCTCCACATTTTAGAGGCAATTGGTATTTCCTCCTCTCCCAGAGTGAACACTAAATTTATAAAGTTTTAAAAAACACAGTTATTCTGTAATTGATTATTCATAGAATAACTAGGGTTTGCCAGGACTTTTTTGAGAATGAAATTAGACACTGCTAACAATCACATCAGGACACTGGACATAAACCAGGACCATCCCAGGCAAATCAGGCATATGGTTGTCCTAATTATAGAAGACTAATTTCAAATGACTATTTGAGTGTAGGATGACTAATTATAATTATTTTTGAGGTCTTTAAGGCATATATTTTTATTAATGCAGTCATTATAAAAAAATTACCCATCATTTTATATTCTCTATGCTCCAATCACAAAATCAAGACAGGGGGTTATTAGTGATAAATATCAGTGTTACTAGGGAGCAGAACTATAGGAATCTCATTTTATAAAGCATCATAACACTGTAAAGAACTATAGAACCCAGGATATAGACAAAGCCACGTGTATTTCTTTTTGGTTGTAACTTTTTTGTGTGTGTGCAACTCTATAAATAAACTTTATATAAATATCCTTTCAAAGTTGTTTTTGCTAAAAAGATCACTGTTCTTCTAGTTATAATATACTTAAATCTTAGTCTGCTTGGGCCACAATAACAAAATGCCATAAACTTAAGCAACAGAATTCTCTCACAGTTTTAGAGGCTGGTAGTCCAAGATCAGTGTGCCTGGATATCTGGTTCTGGTGAAGCTTCTCTTCCTTGCTTGTAGACAACCATCTACTTACTGAGTGCTCACAGGACCTTTCCTTGGTGAATGTGCATGGAGAGAGAGATCTTTTTCTCTTCATCTTTTTTTTTTTTTTATTTTTA